GGCCTCAGACTCCCCAACCCCTAGAACTTGTATCTGAGCTCACTCATTTCTCACTGGGACCCTTTCCAGGATTGCTCCCCAGTCAGTAGAGATCCTGCTTCTACATTTATGAGTATATGTTTACCTTTAGGTGGGAAGATACCTACCATATTTTCTACCTTTCTTCCTCGTCCTTCTTGCTCTTCTAATCCTCCTCCCCCATTAGCCTTAAATATTTTAGTTTAACTTCCCAAATCCTTAAGCCCCTGAGAAATCACCAGGAATGCCGAAATGAAGAGAAAGAACAAAAGAGAGAGAGAGAAGGAAGACCAAGCCCTCATTCTGTCTGAAATGTAAAGTTCAGGGTTTATGTGAGTCACACAGGCTTACCCTCTCTCTCTCTCCCTTCATAGCTCTCACCTTATAACCCCACTTGACCCATCCCACATGGTATGTGATAACTTTCCTTGTGGGCATGACTCTGTTGCCTCAGTCCAAAAGCAGGATCTCTTCTCTGGATCTTGGCCACTCCCAGAACTTTCAGCAGGCACTTGCTCAGCGCAGTGTAGAATAAATGGTGTTGTGAAGAGCAAGGTGTGTCTATTTGCTCACCTACTTTCCCCAAACCCTTCAAAGCTGAGCCATCTAAAGAAGTATAGGTCTCTTCCAAGTTGACAGCTTGGAAGCCAGACCTTAGTTCCAGCCTCAGTGCTCAAAGCCCATGTGGAATGCTTCATGGATTTGCCTTGCAATTTATGGCATAATTACTCAGACACCTCTCATGATAGAGGTCTTTAGTGATGCTGTGTCCTTGATGGAAGTTTGTTGTTGTTGTTGTTACTGTTTTATTTGTTTTCCAAGTGAACCCAAATAAATTAGAAATAAATAAGGTGAATAAAAGGAGACGTAATGGCTCTGGTCAGAAATGAGGGAAAACGGTGAGCTCATGAGACCGGTTTTCTCATGTGACTCCAGCCCACATCAGGCTGTAGGAGAAGAATCTGTAAAATACCTGGGCAGTGGCCTTTAGTCCTGCTAACAGGGCTAACCTGAAGGAAAACAGCAATTTCAGAGCAGATCGGTCTTGCTACTTTATTCATACCTGTCTCTTTGTCTAATTTAATGGTTGCCCTCTCTGAGAACAACCAAGTGGGAATCCTTTTGACACGCAAGGGCAGCAGAAAAATAAAAAGGATAAAAGTGTGTGTTCTGGAATTAAGCCACATGAATTCATATCCTGCCTTTACCCCATGCTAGAGGTGGGGCTCTGAGAAAGTCGCTGTACCAAAAACCAAGGAAATGGTAGTACCTTCCTCATACTTTAGAATTACAGGACATCATCCACATAAAGCACAGGGGCACCTGACACATAATAAGCACTGTTTTAACGATACCTGGGATTAGTTTTAATCAGGTAGGCAAGACACACAGACACAAAAATGTCATGAGGGAAGAAGGCTTTATGCTCACAGGTCCCTAGAAACAGGAAGGGCCACAGTGGGAAGCAGCAGGATCAGTTAGGAGGTAGAGAGAGAAGGGGAAAATATGCATAGGAGACTTTGTTGTGATTTCCCTTAGTAAGGAATGGGCAAGGCAGGGTAAGCAGATTTAAGGTTGACTAGTTTTAGCCAGCCCTGGAGTCTAGGGCCATTGTAGTTGTCTGGTACCTGGTCCTGGGATAAAATGGGCAGGGGACAATAGTGGCCCAGATGTGAGAGCCTCATAGAGGAGGTAGTTGGGTACATGGGCTCTGGATTGGTTGGTTTGCCTATGAAAAGTGTGCTCCCAGGCAAGTTGTTTGCAATCTCTAAGAATTAGCAAGCCCTGGGAAATATAATCTCTCCTGGGTCACAAGGACCCAAGAGGTCAAAGCATCAAAAATATGGAATAAAAATATATGATTAATACAAGCACTAATTAAAAATTTCTCTATCATCATTATCATCATCATCATCATGCCTTCTCAGCATTCCCTGGTAGTAGAGCAAACTGACGGGTGGTTTTTTTTTTTTTTAAGATTTTATTTAATTTATTTGCCAGAGAGAGAGAGAGAGAGTGGCAGGCTGAGGGAGAGCAGGCTTCCCGCTGAGCAAGGAGCCCGATGCAGGGCTCGATCCCAGGACCCTGGGATCATGACCTGAGCCAAAGGCAGACGCTTAACCGACTGAGCCACCCAGGCATCTCTAAACTGATGATTTTATATGGCTTCTATGCCAGCGTCCTGGAACTCATTAGTGATGGTTGATGTTATAAGTGGAAACTAAAAAGTAGCATCTTTTTTGTTAATGACCCAGCCATTATTCAAGAGCTGTATCTTGTTCTGGATTTCATATTTTTGAAGGAAATGGAAAAACCGGAGAGGATTCTGAGAAGAAATTCTTAATGGGGGGAAAGAACCTAGGAGGAAAGGTGACAGATGCTGTGATTTGGTCTACAGGTGAGGGGTCGGGAGATAGCCTGGCAGTCCATTCAAATAAGAGGAGATCGCTCAGACATTCCCCATATTTGATAATCATAGAACAAAATGGAGCAGGTTCATTGTGAAGCAAGCAAAATTCAGCCTCAACTAAAGGAAAAGCAAGTAATTCCTGATCCTTGGCACCTGTAGTGATAGCAAACACGGAGGGTCTGAAGAAAGGTAGAGTCTCAAGAAATAGACACCTTTCAGCTTTGACAGAGATTACACATCTCAGACAAACTGAATACCTAAACCCATGACCTCTTTGTATCTCTTTCTAAGAATTATCTGCCTCTGTTACCATTTTTGTTTTCTTGAATTCTCTTCATTAAGCTCCAAAGAAAGCTTTACTTCTTCTCACTTCCTTTTCATAGAGGAAAAAAACACACCAAACAAACAAAAAGCCCACAAAAAAAAAAAAAAAAAAGCCCACAGCTTTAGATATTTTGTGAAAAGTGAGATTGCTTCACAGAAGAGGCCAGACTTAATATAAGGGAGATTCAAAGCACATCACACAGTCTGAGACCCTGGGCCCCCAGCCCTGCCCATGTTTAGGCTAGTGAGTAGTTCAGCAGACAGCCAAGAGTGATAGGTCAGTGCCCTGCCCCCTCCCATTCTAGGTTGGCTTCCAAAACAAAGAGGTGGAAACTGATGTCATATCCATCCTTACCATTGACTTAACCCACAGTCACCAACTCATCACAAAAGAAAGCAGATATACTAGATTGCTCTTCCCATGTAATTCACATTCCTTTCCACCTACATGCTGTAGAAAAATCAGAAGGCACAGATAAACAGAAAGATGTTTATTTTTATCACCTTTTTATGTCAATAATTATATTTCTGAAATACCATTTTTACTGGTTTCTGAATATATGGATATCCAATATGACTCTTGCAACTCATTTATGTAGGACATTTAGCATCTTTCCAAATTATTTTTGTATTTCAGACTATGCTTATGATGAACATCCTTGTAGATAAGTCTTTATAGTCTTATATTCCTTTAAAATATATTCCCTAAAGGATAATTACTGATTCAATAAATAGACATATTTTTAAGGATTTTGATACAACTGCCAAGTCGACCTCCAGAAAAATCTTTTGGTGAGAAAGTACCTTTGTCAGGGTGCCTGCTACTCTGTCAGTTCTTCAGGACTTGACTTCTTCTCTCTCCACTGGTGTCCCCTTTACTGGGGTCATGTTACAATCTTTACCATTAAGGATTTGAAGGTAATAATGTTCTTTTGTACCCTTCATGGCTCTGCATCATGCAAAGGACTTTGGTTACCTTCCTTTTCTTCAGCACCTTCCTAGCTTGCAAAACCACTAAGAGATAAGTCAACAATAAGAGACAATCAACCCCCCATATCTTTGGAAATTAAGAAATGTGCTTCTAAATAATGTATTAAAGAAGAAATCTATTGAAAATTAGAGCATGTTTTCAAATGAATGGTAATGCAAATACTACATAGCAAAACTTATTCTAAAAGATCACCAAAAGGAAAATGTGTAGCTCTAGGAAAAGAATGAACACAGAAAATAAATGATGTAGTAAGGATCCAGCTCAAGAAGTTAGCAAGAGTGAATGAATGAGTAAGTGGATGAATAAATTAAATTCTTGAAGTCAGTAGCTCCTTAGGCATCTTTGCACACCCTCTCATTCCCAAAACAGTGCTCAACAAGTAAGTGGGGGGCGCCTGGATAGCTCAGTTGGTTAAGCATCAGACTCTTGGTCTCAGCTCAGGTCATGATCTCATGGGTCCTGGGATCGAGCCCCGAGTTGGACTCCATGCTCAGCAGGGAGATTCTCTCTCCCTCTCCCTCTGCCCCTCCCACTCATGCTTGCTCACTCTCTCTTTCTCTCAAATAAATAAATTAATTTTTTAAAAAAGGCAAGTAAATGGAACTCGATGAACATGGGATTGGATTTGTTAAATAAAGGCCATGATTCTGAATACCTGGTATTTCCAAAATCTCAAGGGTTGAGGAGTATTCCCATTCTGACTTCTCTGCCAAGATAATCCATCCAAGTATCATTTAAGTTCTTAGGGCAGGAGATGCTATCTTAGGGAATGCAAGATGCCTGGAGTGTGGTAGAGTTCAGTGGGCTAGCAGAGATAACCCAGGATAGCAGGATTGCAGCTACCATGAGTTACAATGAGACAGCATTTTCCTTGTCTCTGGACATCTCAGGGAAGTGTTTTGTGTTTATTCCACTAAAAATATTTTGGAGATAAAGGTTAAAGATAAGTGCCTTTGTACCGATCCATCAAGCACATGGTTTGGTCATGAGAAGTCAAGAACAGGGCCTGATCACATAGGCAGCCATCTGTTGGAGTTAAAGTTTCACATGTGTAAGGGACAAGGGATTAGGCTCTAGGGATCAATTTTACCCAAGAAAAAGAAGTGACTTTAATGTCATTAATGGTCTCCTAGATGATCTGCTATAACTTTAATTCTCCGTTAAACATTAATGCCGCTCAGTGTTAGTATACTGTCTTTAGTATCATACGGCTCAAACTGACACTAACCTGTTTTCTGTTTTATAACTGAATCACAGGGCTTTTTCAGGAGAAGTCAGCAAAGCAATGCCACCTACTCCTGTCCTCGTCAGAAGAACTGTTTGATTGATCGAACCAGTAGAAACCGCTGCCAACACTGTCGATTACAGAAATGCCTTGCCGTAGGGATGTCTCGAGATGGTGAGCACTCATAGTTTCAGTTGTGAAGGGGCCTTCTGAGCCCTGGACCCAGATCTGCCCCTCCCCCACTCCACCCCACCTCCTCTGGAGGCCTTGTGGGTGCCACGAAACCGGTTACTTCCTCCTCCGTAATCCACTGGGGGTCCGCTGGGGGTGAGGGTGACATGGAGGAAAAGCATCTGTGTGGTCAAAACACCTTCCGATTTTAGGCATTCAAGACATTACAGGTTGATGAATTGATTGAAGGTGATTGAAGGTACATGTCATCTGAGGGCCTTAATAAATATACCTCTTATAGGCATTTTCCCCAGTAAGAAGCACAAGCCAGAGCTAATGGTTAAGGCTAATTGCTAGTGCTTTACACTAACTAGTAAAGCTTATTGGCAGTTGGAATGAATTAGCTTTTATATTAACTGGATATTTTGAATCACAAATCAAAGTCATATATTTGGGGTTTTTTGGCTCAGTTGGTTAAGCGACTGCCTTCGGCTCAGGTCATGATCCTGGAGTCCTGGGATCGAGTCCCACATCGGGCTCCCTGCTGATCGGGGAGTTTGCTTCTCCCTCTGAACCTCTTCCCTCTCATACTCTCTATCTCTCATTCTCTCTCTCTCAAATAGATAAATAAAATCTTTAAAAAAAAATTTTTTTTTAATTAAGTTTTTAAATTTTAACTCCAGTGTAGTTAAACATACAGTGTTATATTAATTTCAGGTGTATAATATGGTGATTTAACATTTCCATATACTCCTTGATCCCCATCAACTGTTTCACCCATCCCCCGACCCTCCTCTCTGATATGCTTTATTTTAAAAGAGTACCCTCAGTTAAAGTTATTATTTCTTTTTCCAACAAGAACATTTTTTACTTAGGGCATACTTCAGAATATATGGTTCTGTAGGATACACGTTAAGACATTCCATCCAAGAAAAATAGAATACACATTTTCTTCAAGTACACACAGAAGAATCCCCTGGTTGAGTCACGTAAAAAGAGACAAACAAATATCACAAATTTAAATCACACCAAGTATATTTTCCAACCACAATGGTACAAAACTAAAGATCAACAATAAAACAAAGCTGGAAAATCTACAATGTAAATATTAAATATTTAATACGTAACAACTATACAACACACTACTGCATAAGCAGTAGACCAAATAAGAAATCAAATGGCAAATCAAAATATGTCTTAAAACAAAAGAAAAAGTCATGTATTTGTACATTCAGAATGTGTGAAAACAGTGCAAAGCATGGCTCAATGACAAATGTTCTTTTCCTTAAAAGAAGCTGTTTTAAGAATAGAGGCCATCTATCACTCAATTGCAAAACATTTCAAGATCTTCCTGGAACACTATCTTAAGTGCATTGAATAATCAACACCAGATTTCAAGACAGTTATTCTTATACAAGGAAACTGGGCAGAAAGTATTGCGGGTACATTTTAAGGACTTTTACGAACATACAGGCTGGCTGGCTCTCTTAAGAGATCCCCTTGAAGGAAACATCTCTTCCAATGGAATTCCAGCCTGTGGAAAATATTTCAGAATGCTGGGCAGGCATTCAGAAAGCCTGCCTTCCCCATAATCAGATGTTCTTGGGCCCGCAGACCAGCCCAGGCACGAGTTGTGGTATACGTCGGTAGCAACGCACAGGATGGCCACTAAGAATACGTAGGCACGAAAATAAAGTTTGGGACATTGGAAGATGCAAGTCACAGAACTTATATACACAGAAATTCCTGTGATATGCAGCTCTGCAGATTTCATCTTTCAGTGACACTAAACTAACAAGGTCAGGCATATCTCTTGTGAACTTGTAAGCTAAGATCACAGGTTGTGTGTGCATTTTCTCAAGAACTGATCCTTTCGTTTCACTTAGAGGATAGTATAATTACTCTTGTTAATATTAAGGCAAAAATTGAAACACAGTTCAGAGTCACAGCAGAATGAGTTTCACCTATGGTTATTAATCCCTTTGGGTGTTCTGGAGTATTCTTTAAAAGAAAAAAATATATATATACCTTCAGTATACCTCTTGGAAATTTTGCACAGAGGTAGCAACACATGTTATGGCCTTGACGTGAATGTCGGGGCTTGTACAATGACAGGCCTGAAACCCAGAGCTCAGAGCAGCCTGATGCTGCCTAACCAGCCCCAGGTTTGTTACCTGAGCCATGGAAACTGGAAATTGACCCGGATCGCACTCACTTGTTTCCTGTGTATGAAGGGACAGCACGTCCTCCTTGGCAGGAAACAAATCTGCCAGCTGACCCAGGTGGTTGTCCCTGGTTCCCAACTTCACTTCCATCTCTCTTGCCTCCTACCCCTAGACTCATAGAATTACAGTGACGGTCAAATGGCTGACTTCAACCACCCGGTCAGGTATCAGTGTAACCACAATCAGTTAGGAGGTCTTAGTCCCTCCAGCAGAGGCTTTCTCTGCATACCCGGAATCGGGCTGAGAAAAAATGGGTTAGTGGGAGAGTTCGGACCAGGAAATCATAAGGTTCTTTTATCAATTATCCAGTGTTTCAGGAGAGATCATTTGGGATTCTGAATGAACAGGAAAGATACTACACTCATTGTTCACTTTAAATACGGGGACACATCCCAGGGAGAAACATTGCAAACACAAATTTGCCCAACAGGGATCTTACACAGTGTTTGCCCTTCTCAAAATTCTGATACTCTTTTTACTTGAGGGTAAATGAGAAGAGCAGAGGGTCGCTTAAAGGTGGGCCCAAGGGTTCCGTGTGGGTCACCGTGACCCAGGAGGAGGAGAGGGGGCTTCTTAGGTCAGGTAGACTCAGAGATATAAGACAGGAAATTGCACAGAAGCCTCATTGTTGAGGTCTCACAGCAAAGCCCCAGCTTCAGCTGTTTGATTGGGAAGGAATAAGTGAATGAATGAGTGAAATGAATAAAAGTTGAGGTTCAGCTGCTTGTGCCTCGATGTACCCCTGTGAGTCTGCATCCCTGCACATCGGTCTGAACCCTGGGAAGAGAAAGAGGTGGTCGAGGCAAGCGGCATGGGCGGAGAATGAGCAAGCCCATCAAGTCACACATGAGCGGTTCCCACTGAGCGTCGGGTTATGTGACAGCAGGAGGACAGACGTGGTCATTGCCCTTCCACCAGTCCCAGGTCTGTTTCTGAAACGTAGCTCCTCTGGGATGTGGAGCAAGCCTGTGTGGGGTGGGACCGTTTTCACCTCTGGATCATGTCCTTATTTTTGTGGCGATGTGGTTTTTGATGGAGATTGTCTGAGACTTAAAAGGAACCCCCAACGCATGCTGGAGAGAATAACAAAGAGAAGCATATTGTCTATGGTGTGGTCTGGCTTTTCTCTTCCAGCTGTAAAATTTGGCCGGATGTCAAAAAAGCAAAGAGACAGCTTGTACGCAGAAGTACAAAAACACCGGATGCAGCAGCAGCAGCGAGACCCCCCACAGCAGCCTGGAGAAGCTGAGCCGCTGACTCCCACCTACAGCATCTCGGCCAACGGGCTCACCGAGCTTCACGAGGACCTCAGCAGCTACATCGACGGGCACACCCCAGAGGGCAGCAAGGCAGACTCGGCCGTCAGCAGCTTCTACCTGGACATACAGCCTTCCCCAGACCAGTCAGGTCTTGATATCAATGGAATCAAACCAGAACCAATATGTGACTACACACCAGCATCAGGCTTCTTTCCCTACTGTTCGTTCACCAACGGAGAGACTTCCCCAACTGTGTCCATGGCAGAATTAGGTAATGGCCTCCGTGTGTCCGTTGCGACGTGTTACTCGTGCCCTTTCAAGTAAATGGGGGGTGTTTGACTTTCCCTTAATGAGTTATGTTCTTAAAATGATACTAGGAGAGCAATTCACCTCTACCATTTGGAGCGCTTCGAAGTTCCACCCTGCCCCCTTGCTTTTGATCATCCACTGTTTCCCCTCGCATATCCAGGAAACACGTTGACCTGTCCGTATCAGAGATGGGGCAGCATTGAAGCTGTCTTTAAATGCCACAGAAACTGTAAACTCGGGGGATGGCCCCATTAACTCTGTTCATCATTTCCTTTAGTTATGATCCAGGTGTTGCTTTACACCTGAAGTCATAAAAATGGAAGCCCACACACTGTGCCTGGGCCATACACATTTTTTTTTTGACCCGCGCAGAGTTTTAAAAATTTTTGAACTGGTTGCTAAAGTTTTAAACCTAGACAATCCTACCTCAAAGTTCACATTTTTCAGCTTCTTGTGAGAGGGGAGAAAATGACCTAGTTATACTGGACCAGCGTTGGTGAATGGCAATAACCAGTTGGTACCAGTAAGGCCCTAACACCTTGACATGTTTTCCCATTTTGTATCGCTGCCCAGCTCCTGTAGGCATCTAGGTTTTGCAGCCCTGAGGTATTCTATGAATGTTAAAGGGAAATTGGCTTCTTTATTTGCCAAAATGGTTTGGTGATGGATATTGGGGACAAAACTGATACATTTCATAGAAAACTCACCATGCAAAAACAAACAAACTTGTCATCTCCTTAATCCTGTGTGACATTGTTGCTTTTTCGGAGGTGTGACCTAGAAATGTTGAAAACACAGACACTGGAAGACTTGCCATTTCGAGGAAGTTGTGTTAACAACCCCTGTTGTAACCTTTAATCGATTTTTAGGTACAACACTATTATTAGCAAAACTTGGATAAGTAAGTTTGCAGTTTTAGAATTTGATGTGCTCCTCCCCGTGACTCCTCACACAGGGTTATAGTCCTTTGGGATATTTCAATTAGTCGATGTGGAGGTGACTAAACACGAGGAGAGAATGAAGACTTCAGATGGAAAAGAAACAGCAGGTTCTGACTTGAGCACAGACATCCTTAGTTCACAGAAATAACGGTTGTGTTCTTTAGATGGTTTCTCCACCTCTGTACCCCATAAAACATTTTTAAGTGAAATTTATATTTCCAGTAAAATCTTTCTCCAAATAGAACAAATTGAATGTTCTTTACGGTTTTTACACAAGCACCTCTTTATGGGTCTAAATTTAAATCCTCAAGAGCAGGGACATTTTAAGCGTGGTCTTTAACCACTGAACAGCATTAAAGGTGGATTGTAGCTCTTTTGATTAACAGAGGAACCTCTGAACTAGAAGCCAAGCTGAGCAGAGGTAGGTTTGATATTTTTTTCTTGAACTAGAACAAAAACCTTCCGTTTTTGTCGTGAAATCTTGGTTGGCTGCGACTTAAGCAGAACTGTAATGAAAGTAAAATTTTCAGAAATGAGTAAGGATTTGATTGAAAGCTGACATGATATCATGAAAAATGACCTGGCTCACTTTCAGTTTGCTTCCACCTTATCATAAATACTAGCAGATCTGTCCTGTTTGCTTGTCAAATGTTCAGCCCTAAAATAAATCCATGGGGCTTAGCCAAAGTGTTGCCCTTAAATATGGCCCTTCGGCTAAATGTGCACTAATACCTGAATGGGGCCTGAAATGGCGAAACCAGTGACCCCTGGGGCCCCTGGTCGGTGTCTTCCACAACTGTTACCTCCCGCTACAGTCTGGGAGCCCCGTGCCCTCAAATGTTCTCCATGCTCTCCTAAATTGGGGGCTTTTCATGTGTCTTGTGGCATTTTCCAGGATCAGTAAAATTAACTCATCACTAGGATTAGTCCCAAACCCAAAACTAAATAAGAATTTGTCTGAAAAGAATATAATTGGGCTCTAATTTTCTTTCCCATTTACCTGTACAAAATATTTGGAGGAGCTGAGCAACATATAAGTGGCCAAAGACTGCTGTTCCTTCTTCAAAGCTATCTGGGGTTCTCTGATATTTCCTTTGGGGCCTCAAATCCTGCTATCTTTTTTTTTTTTTTTTCCAATTCCGGTATAGTTAACATACAGAGTTTTATTAGTTTCAGGTGTACAATATAGTGATTCCAGTCTTACTATCTTTTTAACTGACACCCTTGACTTCATTTTAGGCAAAATTTTGTCATCAGATTTTAAACCAATGAAACCAGTTATACAGTTGGAAAATAAATTATAAATTGACATATCCTAACCTCAATTTTCTCTTTCAATAATAGTATCTACAATCTATTACTTTTAGTGGAAATACATCTGCATTCCTGGCTAGGAGATTTTGCCCTTGAGGTACAATTAGTACCTGAATTATACATTCCAGATAAACAACCTAGATTCACTTAAAAAAAAAAAAAAAACAACTAACTGCGTGTGTCACTATAATTGAAAACTAAAGCCTTGTGCAGAAGAGTCACCTGATTATTGGACAAAGGGCTAGTCAAGAAGTCAGCTTATATGTTTTGTGGTCCTAGGTTTGCTATAGGTTGTACAACCCATTGTAAGTCATGTACCTTGCAAGCTTCAGTTTCCCTACTTATAGAATATAATGATTAAGCACAGACTGGCCCCAAATTATGTATGTTTGAATCACTTGCCTCTTGTCTGCTATGATACCTTGGAAAAGTCACTTAACCTCACTTGGGTTCATCATCTGTAAAAGAGAGATAATACCAGCGCTTTCCTCCTATGATTGTTATGAAGATGAAGAAAACATACATATTCAGAATATATGTGTATATATAAGTTATATGGGGCTAGCACATAGTAAATGCTATTAAATATTATCATCATTATTAATGGTGTTATTATCTGTAAACTGAGGAGAGGTCGGACCAGGAGATGTCCAAAGGTCCTTCCCACTGTGAAAATCTGTGACTAACTCAGAAGTCAGGATTTTCCATCTGAAGTACCTAGACCTTAGCCGTGTTGAAGAAACAATCATGGTTGAGAAGGTGAACTGATTTGTCCATCACAAAGTGAATTTATCTGCTGAGTGCAAACCAGAAACCAGGTCTCCTAACTCCCTAGTTGCACGGTATTTCACTATTCCAGAGTGTTTCTCTAGGAGACCACGCTCACATAACTTTTACTCAGTCTGACCGTATTGTCCTTTGCTGAAATGGAGATTTAAAAATAGTAAAGTGTCTGAAATCTTGACACTTGCCAAATCAACTGTGAGTTGTAAAGGCAGTTGGTGAGAATGCAGCCACTGCCCTCTACTGGTTCGACATGTACATTACGCCATTCCTTGTCAGACTTCCGAATGCTGGGCTCAGATAGGTAGGGATGGATGGGAACAATTTTTAGGGTGAGGTAAAGCAAGATGCTGACCCATATTAACGGGAAAAGAAACATGATCTGGAAGGGAATACTATGAGCCTCTTCCCATTCATCACTTCATAGGATTCCCCCAGCTTCCCTGCGAACATTTCATCTTCATTTTTTTCGTATCTGCAAAAATTAGTTTATACAATCTTTTTTTCTTGTTTCTGACTCATTGTTTTTGTCTTTACTCCCCTCTTCCCTTCACAAGCATCACTGATTCTAAGACACATAAATTACTGGCTTCTCCCTCTTTTGGTCATTGTCTGTCTGTTTCTTTCCTTTAATTTTTTCCCTTCTGTTTATGCTTTATTTTCCTGGTATTTATTTATGTTATGTTCATGTCTGTGTGTTGCCAAATAGGCCTGTTAAGATTTATTGTGTTTCAGTGTCTCTAAGGAGACTCTTGTTTAAGCTTCATTTAGGTGAACCCACTCTGTTTTCACACAAACAAGTTTGATTCTGTTTGCTGAAAGCAGTGACAAATTTCCAAACAGACCCTCTTACTACCATTCTTTGAAAAGGCTTTCCTGGTATATCATCAAGAGCCTGGAAGGAGATCCCTTTGGGGTATGGTTTCATATTCATGGAATCTTGTCAGTTCCCTTAAAATACTTCCATCGTCCTTCCCTGCCATAACGTTTATCACCAACCTACCCAAAGTGCTTAGTCCCGCCCATGTGGATTACAGCAGCCTTTCATTGGTGCCTCCAGCACAGGCCTCTGCTCCAATCCACCAATCACAAGACTGCTTGTTCTGTTTCCCTGGATACAGCCTTCCGCGTGTCAGCTCCCCTGGAGAATTCCACTGACTCCTTTCGTTAAGCAGGTCCAAACCCTTAATCCTAATATTCGTGATTCTCCAGAATGTGGACTCTGACCTACTCATGTTTCTGTCTTGATACTATCACTTTATCACATCTGCCTGTCCCCTGTAAATGCCATTATTTGCTCCTTCATCTGTCATCCCTCCAATGTGGAACTGGCTCACCTCTTCACACTGCTGGCCTCTGCCTGCCAAATCCTCCCCTTCCTTCAGGGTCCACTTCAAATGTTCCCCTCCTGCCAAAAAGCATCCTCTAATACCCCTCGTCTCTCCCTTCCATGACAGGACCCGTTCTCTCTCTCTCTCTCTCTCTCTCTTTTTCTCTTCTGATATAATTCAACTTGATGCATTATTGTCTAATGTCTTGAATTGTCCTTTCAACATGTCCATACACGTTCACCAGATTATAAGTTCCTAGAGAAACTTCTTTGGCATCTATTTGTTTTAATATCCTCAAACCACCTACACTCCAGTATAATAAGAACAAATGTTTATGTAGTGCATACTAGGTAACCCTCCCTGCTCTAAGTGCTCAACTCATTTAATTCTCACAAGCCCTATGAAGTAGGTACTGTTTTCCTCATTTTGCAAATGAGGAAACCAAAGCACAGAGAGGTGGAGTAACTTACCCAAGATCATATAGCTAGTAGATACAAGAGCTGAGTTTCAAACACAGGCCGTATAGTGCCAGAGTCCATCTCTTAATCACCACCCTATATAGAGTGACATAGTAGGCCCTCAGTAATGCTTCTTGTGCTATTTGTTGGAAAAATAAATTAGTTGTTTTCACAAAAGTATACTATTTCCTAAGTTTTCAAGAGTAATCCTCCCCAAGTCAATGTACACAGCAGATGTGTCTTCGTCAAAATGCCAAGAAGAGGCTGCGTTGGTCATTTCCCACACCTGCCCAGGCTAATAATTGTTCATTTCCACACATTGGTGTAAAGCCACAGAAGAAGGTCAAGGTCAGGAGGGTCTTTGAAGTCACCAAGACTTAATTCTAAGTATTGGCTTTGCCTGTCCTTCATCTTCATGTGCCAAAATACAGAATAGTTCCAAATTGCTTATTTAAAAATGTAAAGATAATTAAAACTGGTTCAGCATGTTTCTTTGTACTTGCTACTTTTTAAACCAGAGATTAAGCAGGGAAAACCCTGATTTTCCAGAGAAGAGCTTGGCTTTTCATGTTTATGACCTCCTGTTTTCTCCTTAGAACACCTTGCACAGAATATATCTAAATCACACCTGGAAACTTGCCAATACTTGAGAGAAGAGCTCCAGCAGATAACGTGGCAGACCTTTCTGCAGGAGGAGATCGAGAGCTACCAAAACAAGGTACATACTCTGAAGATTTTTACCCAGGGTTGAGGCAACAGTGGGAAGGGTGTTTATGCAGGACGTCTGTATTCAGGTATCAGATTTCTGTTTAAAATCTTTCTTCTGGAGATGATCATATACTTGGGGCTTTGTCTTACCGAGGTGCAAGTGTGTAAAATTCCAGCAATACAGTAACAAACAAATTCTCTTGTGCCTGTGATTATATACACGTATCTCCTATCATTTGGCAATGGGGGCTGGAGGAAGCAGTGTCCAAAAGCCTGAATGAATTGAGAGTTGTCCTGATTTCAAGGTCTGGAAGTTGAATGTAAAATAATCTCAGCCTCCTGTTTCCAGAGGTTCAGAGAGTGTGTACAGAAAAAGGTTTGGAAGCTATTATCATAACTCCAGTCTGAACCTAGCAATGCGAGGCTGACAAAGGGTGCCGCTACTTGCCTTTTTCTCTACACGCTGCTCAACAAGCCGCCAGAATGGGAGGGCAGGGCTGGAGAAGGGGAAGTTTCAATTACCCGTTCTGCCTTGGTAAAGGGAAATGCTGTGGTTTTCCCCAATAATTATAAAGATGTAGGCCTAGGAGGAGGGACAGAGATTATGCAGACTAATCCTCCCCTTCATTTTACATATGAGGAAATTAGCATCCCTTGGCGTCTGGCAGGAGAGTGAAAATATCAGGACCAGACCATGACTCCTGGCTCCTAACTCAGTGGTTCCTTCACCCCATCATATTGGTGGAAACAGTCTTAAAGTAAGCTTGGGGGAACAAGTGAGCAATGTAACATATCCGTGTCCCCCTATAACTAAATTAAAGAGTGGGTATATAAAAGCAATTAAACAAGACAGGTTGGGGAATAGCAACACATCACTTTATTTGCCTTTGAGATAGCAGGTAACACCAGCAGCCAGCCAGTGTTGTTAGAAAGGGAAACCAGAAAGCAGTAAGAAACAGCCAGGCATGTGAGATGGGGTTCAGAGTCAGAAATGCTGGGATTTGCATCCCAGCTCCAACACCTCCTAGCTCTGAAACTGCTAAGAGAATTTGTGTCCATTTATGGAAAATGGGAAAATGAAACAAGACAAGGATGTCATACAGCATCTAGCTTGAAGCAGGTGCACAATAAATGTAATTGACTCCCCTTCTCTTCCTTATCCCCAGGAAAGTGGTGTTAAATTCCCCAAGGTAAAATAATGGCTCAAAAGAAGATCCTACTTTGCTGCTCTCCGAGGCCCACGGGTAAAGCGGTGGCATGTGTTGGTTTTCTGACTCATGTTTTCACCTGCTCGTGACATCTTCCCCTGTCCCTTTGCCACCAAAATGGTAACAGAGGAATCAGAGGAGATGAGAAAGGGACTTGGAAGCAATCATTATAACTCAAACGTTTATTTTTAACCCTCTAGCTTTTTTGAATCCATTTCCAAAGGAGGCTTTGCCGGAGCAGGGGCAGCTGAGACACCTGTGTTGGGGCTGTGGGTGACCGTGTATGTTGACGTGCGTTTGCTCCTCTACAGCAGCGGGAGGTGATGTGGCAGTTATGTGCTATCAAAATCACAGAAGCTATACAGTACGTGGTGGAGTTTGCCAAACGCATCGACGGATTTATGGAACTGTGTCAAAATGATCAAATTGTGCTTCTCAAAGCAGGTATGTGCTTTGCAAGTGAATTTTGCGATCTCTTCCTAACCTGCTTTCACCCGCCTATTAGAGAAATGCTTGGTAAGGAAGGTGTTGGGAACAGTTTTCGCCCAGTGTTAATAGCTCGGGTTTCTTTTAGCAGAAACTGGGTCCTTTTTAAAGGTTTCTGAGCAATCTGCGGGCAACCTTCCCTCCATTTTGCTTCTCCTCTGAGTGAAATGATTAATTTGAAGGACACCCACATTCCCCCATCTTACCATCACCTGAGTTTTGTTTCTATCACTCCAGACCCTCGGGAGGTAACAGTAAGTTGTTAGGAACGTTATTTGTGGAACTCAAAGGGACACCCCTGGTTTCTTGGTTTGTTTTAATAAATATGAATCGATATGTTTTCCTGGCAACTCTGAGACTCTTTTGCAAGACAGAAGAATGCCAGAGAAGTAATTTGTAACCCCGTCTCTCTTCAGGAATACAGGCCTTAGTTAGCTTCAGCATAAATCCTAAATTACGCTAGTCAACTGTGCCCCTTTAAATGTACAGAGCTGATGTGACTGAGAGCATACAGCCCCCACTGTGCTGAATCAGAAAGGGGTCCCTACATTAATGCCTTCACAACAGATAAATATTCACCACGATAAGAAAATCCACACCATTTCTGTCTTCGCTTAGGTTCTCTAGAGGTGGTGTTTATCAGAATGTGCCGTGCCTTCGACTCTCAGAACAACACCGTGTACTTTGACGGGAAATATGCTAGCCCCGATGTCTTCAAATCCTTGGGTAAGGAAATCTGGGTGCTCTGTCTTTGAATCAGGGCCATAGGAAAATATGGGAGCCCCACCAAAGAGCTAACTGAACAGAATGGAAACTGTTATTTGGAAACAAAAACTAAAGGATTTTATGCTTATGTTACTTTATAGTCACTGCAGAAAATTCACACAGCTCAAACAGTTTTTGTCTATAGTACATTGAAAGGTTTTAGTGTTTTGTTTTACCTAGTTTGTAATCGAAGAAATTTATATTTATATTTATATTTCTTTATATTTATATTATAAAATTATATTGTCTTTCCCTTGCAGATTTTAAGAACCCGATTTTCATAGGATAAATTATTCAGATAAACTAGAGAATGTGATTTCATACATAAAATCGAGCAAAGAGTACTTCTCAAATAACAACCATTAATAAGAATGAAATGTAGATATCAAAGAAGAAAACTATAGCTAAGTGAAACTGGCATATACTATAAAAATTATTTTGGATTTCTATAATTTAAATAAAGTGGGATATAATCACTAAGAAGAATGAAACAGTATCCAAGATAAAGTTAAGTGATTTTGAAAACAGTTAAATGACAGAAGGTCTGTATGCTTTAGGAAAGCTCATTGCCATTTAGATACGTACAACAAGCCTAATAAAACTGGCCAAATCTGAAAGAGTAGACATCAAACTTAACCAATTTTTTTTTAGGATTTTATTTATTTATTAGAGAGAGAGCGTGTGCGCAGTGGGGAGGAGCAGAGGAAGAGGGAGGAAAAGATGCCCCGCTATGCAGGGAGCCCAAGTTCGGGGCTCGATCCCACAACCCTGAGATCATGACCTGAGCTAGAGGCAGACACTTAACCAACTGAGCCACACAGGCACCCCCAAACTTATCTTTTGAGGATGGATTATTATTTTATGGGACTTTCACATTCTATGTTTTCAGTTTTTAATAGCTATAATGATTTTACCACCATACTGTGTCATTGGTTATCATTTTTAAGGGTGGCTTAGATCAAACAGAGTAGAAAACAAAAAAATCAGTGAATGTAACATCTCAGTTACATTGTAGATGTTTGACTCTGTTGTTTAAGATTGTGGGTCCTGAAGTCAGGCAGCCTTGCTTTGAATTTCAGGCTGTTTCTTCCTACCTGTCTGAACTTAAGTAATTTTTCTTTCCAAATCTGTTTACTCACCTCTAAAATGATTATAATAATCCCTCCCTCATAGAGTTGTTGTGAAGCAATAAGGTACCCAAAGGAACCTCTTAGAGTGGTACCTAATAACATGCTAACCTTGCAACAAAAGTTCACTCTCATTATTTTGAATAGTGAGGTTGGTGGTGATAGTGATGATGGTTAAACAGATTTTTCTTTTAAGATTTCAAATTGTTAAACTGTAGAAATGTTATTCATATCCCCTTGGATCTTCAAGTACTAGATCCCTCTTCACCTTATTCCATATTTTTCTCCAAGGATAATAACCAAAATCTTAAACTGTCTTTAACTTTGACAGGTTGTGAAGACTTTATTAGCTTTGTATTTGAATTTGGAAAGAGTTTATGTTCTATGCACCTGACTGAAGATGAAATTGCATTATTTTCTGCATTTGTACTAATGTCAGCAGGTAAGATAACCAAATAACAATGAAATGCTTTAAAAATTGCCCAGGTAAAGAATTCTTACGAGGTACATAAGTTGTAATGGCCATAGCATATTCGGGTGCCTACTGAGACAGTGCCACCCTTATTGAATCTAATTTTAAGTTTTATCAAACAGCAAGCCCCCCTCAACCCCCAATGCATACATGTACCCGTTTAAGAAGACCTCATGCCATTCTGATACAGTCTTAAAAAATGAAAGTTGAGGAAAACCCAGTCCACAATTAACCTCTTGGTATCATGAGAAATGCTCTGGGAGAGTAGGGTTGCCCTTCTTAACACAAATCTCCAAGAGAACATGGTTTTTAAGACATCCTACTTTTTCTTAAGATTCATTTGGATGTCATCCACAAGTTTATCTGAATTTAATCTATGTTTTCAACTAGTACTGCCTCCTGGGGATAATCTGTTTTGCAAATTTACTGTCTTCTGTTTGGCATTCTTACACAGAAAGACCAAATTCATAACCCTTAAGTCATTTGGAATGATCTTGACAGTTTTAGTTGCCTTAGATTATAAGGCAATTTTCATATTTGCCAGAAAGGCTAGCAGGATTTGCTATGAGTATTTCATCCAGAAATATACTTATTAGAAAATTTGAGCGTCCACGGTGGTTTCATTTGCCCTTGTGTATGGTCTTAGATTTAAATGTCTATCCTTTTGGAAGGAGAGGACTCTCCCCTCCTTTAAGGATCAGTAAAAATGGAAAGCTTTACCACTGTATCTTAGATCAGTCTTCCACTGCTTTAGGAGCAAATTTTGAACAAGGAATAAAACTGGCCTATTCTCTAATTCTGCATTGTGGCATAAGAATCTGTGTCTAAGAGTCTGGAGGAATTGGGGTGTCCTGATACCACGTAGGAGAAATACTAAGAAGTATCATTTTTAACGTTTAGATCGCTCGTGGCTGCAGGAAAAGGTAAAAATTGAAAAACTGCAACAGAAAATTCAGCTAGCTCTTCAACATGTTCTGCAGAAGAATCACCGAGAAGATGGAATTCTAACAAAGGTAAAAGGGAAAGGTGTCCGGTTGGCATGGCCTGAACTATCCCTTGCCACAGGTCTTGCTGTCAGCCACCCTTACAGGTCATCTTACCGGCCCCCAGAGGTATCCATAAGCAATAGGCTACTGAAACAAAGAAGTATCTCCATTTCAAAAAACTTGGTTGGGCCAAAATTCAGGTTAAGTTCTACTTACTATTATTGGTTGTGAAGTGTCCTGCAATAATAGGAAAATGGTAGAAATTTTTTTTTAAGCATTAATACATTCTGGAAATCTTCCTCCTATTCCATCTAAGTTGTGCATAAAGCAGAGTTAATGTTCTGCATTGATATAAATTAGAGAAAGAATCTTCGAATTTAGAAGGAGGAAGTTATAAAGGACTAAAACAAGCAGGATAATCACATATTCTAATATTAGTTCTATTTCCATTACATTCATTAGTAATCAACAGAAAGTGACTTTTGTATTTTCTTCATCAATTTCCCATTACTGCCCCGTATTCAAAGCATAAGGCTTCATTTTTGCTAATTATTACCTTTTGCAATAAAAATATAATTAGGATGTCAATTTAAAGTATGCTAATTTTCTTCAGTGCTAATGCTAGTAGTATGTATTTGGTCTTTGAAAAATCAGCCTTATTCTTTCTTAGACTATTTTATGTGTTTTGTTGTTCAAGAAGATGGATTTGAGAGGTTTGGGTTTCTCTTCCTGCTTTCCTTTCTTTTCTTCTGATGGCTAGATTAGGTCGGAGAGGGGAAGTTGGGGGTTAATTGCTGCTTTGTTTTTATTTTGCACCTGTTCAATGAGAGATTGAGGCAGGAATGGAAAACAGAAGAACTCTCCAGACCCCTACCTTCTTCTTCATCTTCTTGCCCCAGTGCAAGGATACAATTAGGTTCTTTCATTTTGGAGAGCACGTAGCACATGGACAAGATCTGTCGAACGTGTTTCTTAGGATTATTTTGGCTGAAATAATACATCGTTTGTACAGTGTTTTGGAGTTTAAAAAAGCATTGTTTCAAGCTGTTACTGTCTTCAACTGGTAAATGGTCAATGCTGAGACTTCCGTCCAGGCCTTCTGACTATTCTTTCCTCTGAGCCTTTTACTCAGACCCAGAATTGGTTTGTCCAGGCCAAGGTCTTTCCAAGAAGAAACTCGTTGTCATTGGAGTTGGCTAGTCCTGGTTCTGCATAAAATATGTAGGGGACGCGCTCATCTGCAGTTGCAGTGACCTCACCTGCCCATGACTGCTTCCTTGTCTTCTTCTCTGTCACCAGACGTCTTCTTCCTCCACAGCAGTGGAGGGCAGGGTTGGGGATGGGAGAGCAGAAAGCATGTTGGAATAGGAGAAGGAGGTGAGAGGCTTGGGTTCTTATCTCACCTCTGCCACGTTTGCTCATGAACATCTTTTCAGATTATTGTATTATTTGTCTTAAAAATTGTATTTAATGTATACCTGGTATCCCATGATATGCCTAAAATTTGTTTTTACCAATCTTCCTTCTGGGAAGAACACGTTAAGCCACTTTGAGTGTGTTTCACCTTTGTAAACAATGTTGTAAAGATCATCCAGATTCCCTGATTTTTGATGCTTATGTCTGTTCTCCCCTCACAACGTGTCCTTTCTTCCACTTACAGTTAATATGCAAGGTGTCTACATTAAGAGCCTTATGTGGACGACATACAGAAAAGCTAATGGCATTTAAAGCAATATACCCAGACATTGTGCGACTTCATTTTCCTCCATTATACAAGGAGTTGTTCACTTCAGAATTTGAGCCAGCAATGCAAATTGATGGGTAAATGTATCACCTAAGCACTTCTAGAATGTCTGAAGTACAAAACATGAAAAACAACCACAACAAAATTAACCGAGACACTTTATATGGCCCTGCACAGACCTGGAGCTCCAACACACTGCACATCTTTTGGTGATCGGGGTCAGGCAAAGGAGGGGAAACAATGAAAACAAATAAAAGTTGAACTTGTTTTTCTCATGCATATGATTTCCATTATGCCTACAGATATGGACCCTTTTTCTGTCTCAACTTCTTGATTATTGACCTCTGTTTACAACTGAAGGAGGGTACTAAAGTCGGAGGATTTCCTTTTCTTTGTAGCTCACTGCCCACAGACTTTCTGCAGAGTCACCAATCTGTTGGTACCAACAGAGAGCCCTGCAATAATCGGTACCTGGTGTGCATAGCGGAGGTGGCGGCATGACTTTGCACAACTTGCTCTTTGTTTCATGAAGGAAGTCTTTATGTTTTTCCACCGATTATTGCCAGTCAGCAGGATGGTATGAAAAGGGTCCATAGCACTAGCAACAATAGCATTATAATATATTACAGGGTAAATGGGCATGAAGACTATATATAGCTAAAAGAGATATTGTTTATATATTGTTTTAATTAATATAAAATGTAGTTACTGGTGTAGCTTTTCCTGTTGAATTGATAAGGCACTTTCATTTTGCACCTTTTTCTTTAAATGAAATGCTAGCGTGTTCACTGTCGTGTCGCATGTGCACCAGAAACACAAGTTTAACTGAGAAGGCTTGGAAGGAACGTCAGGAGGTATTTATGCTGCTGTTTACAAATGACTTTGAAAAGACTGGCTGGTCATATCTAGAAATCACGATGTGGATTATTATTTTTTTTTTTTTACACTTCATTTGGAATTAGAAATGGAACTCTCCCTAAATTATACTTTGCTTCTTGGTAAGCTTAAGGATAGATGTGTTTATGCTTCATACAAAGTTGAATGATCGATTGGTGCTATGGACTTATACCATCATGCACATTATTTTTTTTAAAAAAGCTTTTTTAAATGCCACCTCATGGAGGCAGGGGAGGGAGGGGAGGCTCATTTCACACAATTCAGTACTTATATGGACTCAGTCTCCACTTGGAATTCTTATGCTTTGAGAACAAATCAGTAACCCAAATATTTATTGGAATTCAGCTTTTATTATAAGAAGGACCCAAAGATTGTATCTGGAGCAAACACACACTGCCCGTGTGAGGACATGAAGCATTTACTTTGTGAATGGTTATGTTCTTGGTATAATCTAGGAACCCCAAGGGTATATCTCAGAGTGAACTAGTTCTAGACTAGCTGCCTCTAGATGCTATAATTCTAGAATATTGCACTCCATATTTCACAGACAATGGATAGAAGGGCAAGGGAGGTATGTAACACTGAACCAGTTTCTCTTATTTAAATATTAAATATTTTAAGCATTCAAAGTGAAGTTGATGCTAGCTGCAAACATTTACTCTTATATTTATCTTCATTAGAAAACTGTGGACTGTAATTTATTTTATTAAATATTTAGGAGATTGTTTGGCTTTTGTGTTCAGGTGAGAAATATTGAATGTTTTGTTTAATTTCATGTTTTGGAGGGTTTTTATAATTTTAATAATTCCCAGTGGGGGAAGGGCGAATGAACAGTCTGATATACACGTGTGCATATTTTAAAAATAAGTGCCCTTTGGAAACGTAGGCATTAGAAGATGATTTTAGTCAGTCGGGGTGGGATTCAAACTTCTGGTCTGACATGAGAGACCATGTTTATACAGAAAAGGGAACATCTTCTCAGAGCATAAAGGTGGGAGTTTCTAGGCAGCCCTTTATAGCAGACAAAGTGTCTCTACCACCAGGGTCCTCCTGAATCTTTCTTAGGAATTGTGGCTCCTGATGTCGCGTGGATCACAGCACGGGCTTCCCAGAGCCCTTTACTCTGGCTTTAACTCCCAACTGATTTTCTGACTTGTTTCCTGGGGGATTTGGAAAAGAGGAAGGAATTTTTCACACAGAAGTGTGTATGAAGCCTAAATAACATCTTAATTTTTTTTTCAAAAATAATACTAAGGGTTTAACCATAAATAGAAGACAAGAGTAATATTTACTTAAATTTCTTACAAGTATATTAAACTTTATGTAAGTGTTTATATAGAGAGGTTAACTATCAGCATATAGTATTTATATTTGGGCAAGAAGGGTTAAATCAAATTTTTTAATTTAAATAAGCATAGTTCCTTTAAAGATCAATAGTATTTATACTCTGAAAAGAGTACCAAGCTTAGTTCAGTTATTTATTTGTCCATTTTTTTTTTCCTGTTGTTTCTCCTGGGGAGGGGGGGAGATGGTGTGTTTTTATTTTGGTTTGGTTTTTGTTTTTTGTCATTCTGAGTCACTAAATTTAGGGATGGTTTTATTAGAGTATATTAACTTCTTTTTAACCAAAGCTTTCTGAATATGACCAGCCTCAGGTGCTAGCGCATTAAAGAGCAACTAAACCGAATTCCAGTGTCCATTTGTGAAGTGGTAAGAGTTAATTGAACTTCTCTAAGGGTGAGAGAGAGAGCATAATGTTGAGCTTAAAAGAAATTCCTTTTCCCAGAAAGGATTTTGCATGTACCAAATGCAAAAAAAAAAAAAGAAAAAAGAAAAAAGAAAAAAAAAAGATGCTTGATCTCAGTAGTCATCACGCCATGGTGACATTGCTTTTAAAATAAACCAACATACATTGACATGATGCTGCTACCAGGTCTTTCTGAAAGAAAAACAAGGTGAGGACTTTAAGAGCAAAATACGTTGCCAGTGTAGGGACAGAGCAGGGGAGGTGTGCTCAGTGAACAGAGGGAACAACCATTATTTGGATCAAAGTTGGGATCTGAAGTTAAACAATAAATTCAGTTTAAAAAAATGACATATAGAAAAGGATGTGAAAACCTTTGCGTTTTTATTTTCTTCTTATAGAAACACCTGTGTGATGACACAAACTACTTGGTGATACAGAATAATGATTGTTTAAGAGGTCTTATAATTAAAGTTTCCTAAACTTAAATATCCAGTAGTCTTTTAAAGATTGGAATCACATCATTGTTATCCCAGTTGCTATGATGCCTTTTATATAGTTTTTTCATAGAGGTTACATAAGGCTTTTTGTATGAAGCCTGAATACCTTTGGTTACAGTGGTGTCAGATGGTGGCATTATATTCTGAAGAACCTGGCCTTGGTCACAATGAAAACAAAAGTGCAGATGAAAGTGCTTTTTTGGACAGTTTGCAAATTGTGTTAAAGCTATGGATTTTTTTTTAAGTGTTCAGCATCCTAATTTGCGTTAAAGCTATGGATTTTTTAAAAAGTCTTCAGCATCCTAATTCACCCTTCCTAACTTAAGGAAAATGTAACTTAAGACACTGCTTCTAAGTTTGGTTGTTCTTTAGAGTGTGGATACCCAGATCTCTGTGAGCATATGGGGGTGGGCTAAGGGCCAGGTGAGGAGGGAGTGTGTGTGTGTGCGTGTGTGTGTGTGGTTTTCGTGTGTATGATGTGCATGTGTCGGACCGCTTCTAGGCTACTAAGTGTCAATGGAAAAGAAAATGTATTCAAAATACTTAAATCAAAACTAGAAGATGGGGAAAAAAAGATTTATTCTATACAAAGCCTTGTCTGGACCACTTTAGAGAGACTTCTATTTTTTTAACCCTTCTATAAATATTTGATGGCACTTGAAATATTCCTGCAATAAAATGTGATTTGTGTAAAGAAAAAAAAAGATTTTGTAATGTGAAACAAAGAAAGAAAGTAATGTAATTTTCTAAAAAAAAAAATACAAACAAACAAACTTTGTATTATTTTCTTGATGGAATTTGTCTATCTGTCTTTGGAAAACTTTTTATTTCATTGAATGTGCCATAGTAGAAATATGTGTTTTTAGTTTTAGACTAAGGAATAGCTGTTTGTGTTCCGACATTCCAAAATGCAAAACAACCTAGTAGAATCTTTAATGAAAAGGTTTAAGTAGGATGTAAGCTTCTCTCATTGTTGCTTTTTTGCACATGTTCTTCATTCCTCTCTAGTGCAATATGTACATAGAGCACTTGCGGGTGTACCTTGATCCCTCAGGGAAAAAAATACATATTTGTACAGTTTTGGTTTTTTGGTTGGTTTTTTGTTTTTTTGTTTTTTTGTTTTTGTTTTTTGCCTTTTGTTTTTGGCTAAGGAATGTCGATTGAATCACTTGTTATTGTTGAGGGGCAGCCAGATAATAATCCTAAAGCCACTGTTTTCAAACATTGATTGTTTAAATCATGTGTCCTTCCAGTGCTATTATTTTAAGATAATAATAATAATAAAAAGTTATTTTCTGACAGTTCTTTGTGCTGATTGGTGAAAAAAAAAGGGTAAATAAGCACCTTATGATTGACTTACTGTGAATGACAATCCATCTTGATATCAACAATAGAAGCCCTATCACTTTGGAGTTGGGGTTAAGAGTCAGAAACAATGTGCTCAGGGATCTTCTAAAACTCTTCAAACAGGGTGGCCAGTACTACTGGGACAAATTGTGTTTTTTATTATTAATAATAGTGATAATAATACTATCCCTCAAGGCACAAGTGAACTGTATAGAATTGCGTGTGTGTGTGTGTGTGTGTGTAAACTCTTCACTATCGTCTCATTTTGTTGAGTTCAAAAACGTATGTGTTCTTCAGTCCCGTGTGGTTAAAAATGTTGAATAACTTCCAAAGCAGTATAAGGTTATGCCAGTATGTTCACAAGATAAATCAATAGGCAGCATACCAACAGAGAGCATCACTTCAAGTGCAGTCCTACCTACTCCATTTACTTCTAATAATTAAAATATTCATGCTAAATATATTCATAGCATTATATATTAGAAACTTTCCAATTCTACATGGTATGCAAAAAATTGTTTAAACCAGTAATGAGACAAGAGCCCCGCCTATCAGTGCAGTAAAAGAGGTGAAAGTTTGAACACATTTTTTTCAAATGCCAGCAAATAACTTATCTTGATTGTGTTCTCTAGAAGCAAACCAAAAAATCCCTTTATGGAACACAGTTCTTCTACACTTAAGAGTTTTCGTCTGTTGAATTAATACAAGAGCTAATGTTTAAAGACAGACAAAACCCACCTATGTAACAGTGCCACAAGCCGGCTTTTAGGGTTTCATTTGACATTTTTGCAATATAGCTTCGTTCTCATGTTTCCATGTATTTT